ACAGTTTGGGTGTAAAAGAAATTTTCTTTTTTATAATTCTCTTTTTTTCTCTTATTCGCTTTGATTCATTTTATAATCTTAGGCTACATCAACACTACAGCAGAAATTCAACAAGCTATGCAGCTCCAGCTAAATGAATAATGTAACTGGAGTTGACATACCTTAAATCAAGTTATTGCAGAGTCTGCACCTCAGGGGGAGAGTTTCTCCCGTCGACTTATACCTTACTCTTCTCATCTAGGGTAGAGTAAAATGGTCGACTGGAGAGCGACCTGCAGTTGATTTGACAGGTCTTCACTAGACCTGCTAAATTGACTGCATATGAATTCATCTTCGAGTGTCAATCTGTGCTGCAGTCTAGATGTAGCCTTATTCTCTTGTATTTATGGCATCATAATCAGTAGCCACAACAATGCTTCTACAAGTGGAAAAAGCAGTATGAAGGAAGGAAACACATCTTTTTACACTAATATCTTGATAATCAGCAGCAATGATAGATTTCTAATCTATAGAAAAATAACACAAAAACGAAGCATGAGGTTTCCATGTTATTTAAAATATTAAATCTTTCGAGAGAGATTTCTTCTGTGAAAACCTTGAAGAACAATTAGCCAACTTGACTTTATTCCAGAATTCTTGTGAATTTAGAAAGCATACAGCATCTCTCAATAAGGCCTTGGTTTTATGAAAGCAGCTCTTTCACATTATTCTTGAGCCAGTACAGAAAGGTCTATCGAAGAGGTTACCTTCTGTCAGAACTAGAGAGGTGGATTGAATGGCAGTTGCAATTGCTGGGCTCATAAATGGCAAATGCATCTGTCAGTGTGTCCATCTGTCCATCTGTGAATTCCTTTGTTCAAGAACAAATCAGCAGAAGGGTTGCATGCCCCCCACCATCCTGGTTTAGCTCTAGGAAGAAGCCAGTGGGTGGCCTGTGGCCACCCCCATACCCTCTCCTGAGCTCCTCACACCTCCCAACCCCCTTCCCTGACTCCTTCACCCTTACTCCTGCCCTGAGTTCCCCAACCCCTGCTCTGACTCTTGCATCCCGCACATTCCTAGCCCCCTGCCCTGAGCCTCCACAATGCCCAATCCCCCGCCCCGACGCCTGCACTCCCCCCCCCACCCCCACATTCCCAGCTCTCTGCCCTGAAAGATCTTCATAAGTCTTCTAATTTGTCATAAATGCAGGCAGGAAGAGAGGGGGCTATTCACGTTGAGAACTAGTGAACTAAATACTTTCTGTTTGGTGCCTATTTAACCTTTGGGTACTTTAAGGCATCTCAATTAAGAAAAGGGTTTGGTAAAAATGAACCAGGCCCCACTTCAGCACAGCTCTGTGATAAAAGATTAGGTACAGCCTGATCACAGTTAATCCAGAACTCAGAAACACATTAATTTAGATGGATATGTTCAATGAACCAGCATGTCTGACTTGGATCCGTTGCCATTTTTTAGTTACACATTTTAATCAAAGGCTGCAAAGTATCGATTCTGCTGTGCCATTTTTGTTTTACTGCTAGGCTGCACTTTCTCTTTTCTGTCCCTATCATCCTACAGAAAGTACATTATAGCTTCTGCTTTTTTTTCTTCTTCCTGTAATGCCCCTGCCTCTTGTCTCCAAGTCACTCACAGACTTCATTGACAGCTTCCCTGTTTCTGACAATGAAGCTCAGTGGCAGCTAGTGGAATTTAGCAGCTAACAGGTGGCTTCAGGGTAATACCTGTCAGCTTGTGACAATCAAGCTAAGGTACAAAGTAGCATAGTGGCCAACACTATGCTACAAGCTAGAGTTAACCACGAGGTTATTTAATCTGAAGTGGGAAGAAAGCCAGGATTAACTCAAAATACTGTGGTAAAGACTGAGGGTATGTCTACACTACCCTCCTAGTTCGAACTAGGAGGGTAATGTAGGCATACCACACTTGCAAATGAAGCCTGGGATTTGAATTTCCTGGGCTTCATTTGCATAAGCCAGGCGCCGCCATTTTTAAATCCCGACTCGTTCGAACCCCGTGCCGCGCAGCTACACGCGGCACGGACTAGGTAGTTCGGACTAGGCTTCCTAGTCCGAACTACCATTACTCCTCATTCCACGAGGAGTAACGGTAGTTCGGACTAGGAAGCCTAGTCCGAACTACCTAGTCCGTGCCACGTGTAGCCGCGCGGCACGGGGTTCGAATGAGCCGGGATTTTAAAATGGCGGCGCCTGGCTTCATTTGCAAGTGCGGTATGCCTACATTACCCTCCTACTTCGAACTAGGAGGGTAGTGTAGACATACCCTGAGAGATACCAGGAATGATCTACTGGGAATGAGGAATCTCTCCATTCTTTTAAATGGGTGATATTTCTTCATCATCATGGTGTAGAAGAAAATATTTAATTTTGCTGATATTCAGTAAATGTTGATAACCCTGTATAATTAGAGCAGAATATGCTACCTTTGTTGACACTTATATCCTTGGACTGTAGCATTGTAGCTGTAGCATCTCACCTGCATCCAAAATATACTGGCCAGCACATCACTTTTGCAGAGAAGCTCCAGTTTTAGAATAGGCCCCTATTTGGAGAGTTATTAGTTTCTCCACTATTCCTTAGAATCATAGGATTATAGAGTTGAAAGAGACCTCTGGAGGCCATCTAGTCCAAAACCCTACTAAAAACGGAACCAGGCCCAACTAAATCATCCCAGCCTGGGCTTTGTCAGAAGAGTCTGATTGCCCACACTATTTTTGCCGGTGTAATTCTATCACACTCAATTGAAAATCGGACTCAGAAATTTCAGTATGATCTAGGACATTTGAAAAGATTCCAAACCAGCTATCCTCCCCAGTACAAGTCACTTCTGTACTTGGAGAAAATGGATTATGCAGTGGGAAGCTGTTGGAAAAATGCATAAGTAAGTTGTGGAACTCATGGCCATATGGTATCGGTAAGGTCAAAAATGTAGCAGGATTCAAAGACTGGGCGTGTGTATGGATAACAAGAATTTACAAAATAATAAAAAAAAGTTTGAAAGAGATATAAAATCTTGTTCTTCATGGCTTAAACCAATCTCTATTAGAAGAGAAGACTTCCCCATTGTGCAGGTTATCCCATAATTGTGTACTATAGGATTGCCTGCACTGAAGCACATAATAGTGGCTACCGTCAGAGCCGATATGCTAGACTAGATTGACAATGTATCTGATCCAGTAAGGAAATCTCTATGTTCAAATGAAATGAATGATAGAAAATTCTTCAGCTCTCTGTTATTGGTATTAATAGAGTATCTGTGTACTTGATGTTTGAAGAGACCTCTATTGTTGGTAGCACATGATTTGTGGTCTTTACAAAAGAACATAAAAATGGCCATACTGGGTCAGACCAAAGGTCCATCAAGCCCAGTATCCTGTCTGCCAACAGTGGCCAATACCAGATACCCCAGAGGGAGGGAACACAACAAGTAATGCTCATGTGATCCCTCACCTGTAATCCATACATATATTTTGTACCCTGGTATGACTGTGTCCCATTGATTGTCCTCATTCCACAAAGTTTCTGTGGCGCCTATTATTTCAATATCCTCCTTTAAAACAAGGCACTCTAGTTCACCCATTTTACTATTCAGACTTCTAGCATTTGTGTATAAGCACTTTAATAATTTGTCACTATTTATCTGTCTGCCATTTCCTGATGTGTTAGATTCTTTTTTATTTGATTGTGTCTCATGTGATCTGACTCATACTTCCATCCTCTCCTCCTGACAAGAACACAGAGCATCTCTATTAATAGGTCCTCCCCAAATCTCCTATAGGTTAGTATGGCTATGTCTACACTGCACATCAATTTCAAAATAAGCTATTCCAGAATAGTTATTCCAAAACAGCTTATTTCAAAATAGCACATCTACACTACAGGGAAGCCTCAAAATTAGTCTGAGGCAGGCTTCCCTAATGTAGACATGCTATCTTGATTTAGAGCCCTAGGAGGCACTGGGGAGGAATAACTTGGAATGGCTCTCGTGAGGGGCTATTTCAAAATAGCAACAGTGGAGTGCCTTATTTCAAAATAGCTATTTTGGAATAAGCATTATTCTTCATAGAATGAGGTTTACCAATTTCAGAATAAGCTGCCTGTTATTTCAAAAATATTTCAAAATAACGGAATTGCTGTTAGACACTCGCATAGTTATTCCGAAATAACTTTGCTGTGTACACATACCCTATATTCCACATTATATCCTGGCTCTCTCTGGGGCTTGAAGACAACAACAGAGGTTATTTTCTATGTTCAGGTTGTGGTTTATAAGCTCACATTTCTCATCTGAAAGTATAAAATCAAATACAGAGTCTCTAATGCTAACTTGATGAGTTCTGAGTAGCTGTTTCCAAGGAAGTTGTTATGACAGATCTGTTAAGCTATTTTTTCCCCACAATTTCCTTAGCCTTTCTGAAATTTCTTTTATTTCCTATATTTCACACCTTCTTGTACTACTGATATACAGCAATGCCAGCTTGATCTTCCTCTTTGGCCTCCTTTCCCACCATACACACATATATTTAGACATGTTTTCATTAGTGAACTGCTGAGGAAATGTTCCTTGGTTCACCCAAATTACCACTGAGATGTAAGATTTTAGTGATCTGGAAAAATCTATATTTAAGCTTTCATTGCATTAAAAATCATTTGTTTCATCTGACATTTTGGGCCATCTCAGAGTTTGGTTAATATTTTAACAGTTCTGACAAAATTTGCTACTGCTGAGATATGAGAGTATCTATGTCTCTCTGATATATTTATTTTTAATATATAGGATTATTTTTTAATCTTCCTGTTTACTCGGTCAAATATACAATTGACTAGAGTTTCCAACATGTATTTCCTAATGATTAAATGAATAGAAATGTCCCTCTGAGAGAACACCTTAAGACATCACTAGTCTTACATGGCTACATCTGTACAGTTTATAGGTTTTGGTTTTCTTTTAAATTCTGGTATCCTATCATTTATTGGCAGGCATCTGATCAATTCAGTGAAGCAGGGGCGGGGGTATTTCCACACACTTCAGAAAGAAACATTGGAGAGGAAGAATGCACTGAAATCAGCACGACAAAAACAAATGGCAAAATGGCGAACTGAATGGCAGCCACCCAGAGACTCCTCAGATGAGGAAGAGTCTGAGGAAGAACTAACTGAGTAAGTGCTGTTTGGGGAGGCGGAGAGTATTTTTGTGATCTTAGACTCAGTGGCTTTGAAAGGCTGTTTCAAATTAAACTGATTGTCACTGCTGTCAATATCTGGACATTTGATTCACTGTTGCAAGCAAGATTAATCCTTCCTGGACCTCTCTTACTCCATTTATAGACCCCATATTTTAAACTTAGACCCTAATGTTAGAACAACAAATTCTGCTCCTAAAGTGAGTAGTCAGACACTTGCATGCTGACTTCAGCACCAACTTTTGGAACTGGGAGTCTAAACACAGGTGCCTAAGGCGGAATAGTTCCTCTTATATGCAACAGAAACTTGATATGCTTTTACAGTCAGTTGATAGAATGGAAACTTGATTCATGAATGTGGAACAGAAATGCTTGAAAAAAGGTACCCAAGAAGGAGGGGCCTGGTGGGACAGGGTAGTTGGCTTAGAGGGGACTTCGGAGCCAGCTGACGAGAGCTGGTCAAGTGAAGAGAAAAGGATGGAGCATAGTAGGAAATTTAAAATGTTTAGCTCTCTAAATTGTCCCACATGAGCATGGTTCCTGCCATAAGAGAGGAACTTGGGAATTAAGTGCCAGATTTGTATGTGTATTTAGGCCTCTGATGGTGCAGGTAGGAGCTTAATGACATTTTCAGAAGTACCTACATTGAAATCCATGGAAATGAGGTATCCAGGCATTGGTGAAAATCCTAGAAAGCTCCTACCTACATCTTTGGGAGTCTAAGTAGCTTTAACACTCTAGCCCTAAAGCATTAAGAACAAGTTGGGATGGCACACGAAATACAGTGGTTTATTTGTGTTCATTTGGTCCTAACTTCCTTTCTTTCCCCCCAGCCAGAAGATGAGTGGGCCCTGACTTTGGGTGGGTAGGCAAGAATGTGGGGGGAGAAGAGATGGGAAGCAAGCCCCAACCCTGTTCCCCAGCAGTTGGAATGGGCAAGCCTTGGCCACCCAAACACCCTACCCTACAGCAGGGCAAGCCCTCACACCCCGGCTCAGAGCTTTGGGATACAGCTGAGCTAGTCCTGGTCCCCAACTCTGCAGACCAGAGCACTGGGATACAGCAGAGCAGGCCCCAGCCCCTACTGCCTGGCCTGGAGCACCAGGGTACAGCAGGACAAGTTCACAATCCCACTCTTGGGACACAGCTGGGTACTCTCCAGCTCCTGCTCCCCAGCCAGAGTGCCAGGCAAGGTGGCAGGAGTGGGCCTGGTTGTAAAGTGGGTGGGCCATGGACCACTTAAGCCCACCCCTGGCTAGAGCCCTGTTTCTCCCACTTCCTCCCCACCCTCAGTTTAATTTCAAGGAATCAGAAACTTCCCATGACATTGCTTACTAACCTGTTAGCTGAGGTTGTAGCTAGTGATAATTATGCTTCTACCATTGAGATGTGCTAACCATGGGCCATTCTTCTCAGAATCTGTTTAATCTCTTTAATAATACTCTGTTGGTTTCTAATAATAATTTCTAGCTATACAGGAATTAAATAAATGCAAAATTGAATTTTAATCTTTTTCTAATTTGCCTCTTTCCCCCAGCCCTCCAGTTTCTCTACGTAGGTTCTGTTTGGTCTGGATTTCAACATTCTCTAATTGTCAGATGTTGTATATATTATTCCTGCTTTCCATTGGGACTAAGAATTTCAAAATCTCAAAGGCTGCTGGGCACTGCACTATCCAACTGGGATAGATCACTCAGGAAGGGTGAATGTGAGGGAGCTGCTAGTTGGACTTAGGACTTTGGAAACCTGAGTTCACTGCAGACTCCCCATGTGACCTTGAACAAGTCATTTGGGGTCAAATTTATTACAAGTTGTTCAATGTTTTTGCCAGTATAGCTTATTTTGCTCTCTGAACTAGTAAACACTATACGGGACAACTGCTTCTTTTTGATGCTTTCAACTGCCTTTTCAATGCGGACTTCTGCTCTTACAGAACTGTTGCACACGCACACACAAAAATCACATGCCTAACTGACATTGCTATAGTGGCAAAATACTTTTGTGGAGATCTATCCAAGGGAGTAAAGTTGGTAACCATGACTATTTACTTGCTCAGCATTTTACTTGTCATTCTCTTCCACTGATTTCAAAAAAATATGACCTGCTTTATTGGCTTTTTGCCCCTAAAAAAGCAAGAGCTTTAGACTAAGGTGAGCTAAATGCAGAATTAGAGTTGAGGTCCCTGATTCTCCTAATTGGAAACTGAGCTGCCCTCTTCCACCATGTGTAGGATGGGACAAGAATGCACACTGAAACTAATGAAAGAAATGGACTCTTTTGTCAGGCCTTTGTTTTTATATGCAAACTGTCTGATGCAATTTATGCAGAGGCAGGATCCCTGCTATCAGGTGTTAGTTTCATCCTTGTCATGTTATTCATGTTTGCTTGAATGCTTTGGCAAGCAGTTAAAAAGCTGTTTTCAGTGTATGCAGGGAAAATAGGGATAGTTATCTGTTATTTCACTGCTGGTTGTAGCAGTGCTGAATTTAAAAACTGGGAACTCAACAGAGGAAAGAAGGGAACTAAAGTCGTTTAAAGATTGCTTTGGAAAGGACCACTTAAGTTCTTTTCAACAGATAAAATCTAGTCTCAGCTTTCTACATACGATTTTTATATGTGTGTTTTCTATATAAAATACAGCTTCTTACTACAGCTTTTACTCAGGAGAATGGAAATCTCAGCAGAAGCTATTGAACATACAGCATTTTTTTCTGTACTTGATTATCTTACACATTGGAGAAACATTATTGCTCAAACAAATCTTAAAACACAAGCTTTTAAGTTATAGTAACAAAAATAGCTATAAAAGTCATCATGAAGTTCCAAACTTGCTCTTTCTTAATTACTTACCTCCATGCTTCTTTACATTAAAAAATCAAAAGATGATTTTTTAAGCCATGAACATGATGAACTCTGCCTGTGATAGGAAAATCTATGTCGTGTTCTTCTGCCTCGGACTTAATCAGAATGAATGTTCTGCAATCAGAATTTATCAGACAGTTTTATGGCTGGTGTGTGAAGAAGACTAGTATCTAGCCTCTAGCATAGTTATCTGGGTTTTATTGCTCAAACAAAAGTAAATTAGTTTTTTTTCCCTCAAGTATAACTTGAAGACAAACTGGGGCAGATAGTTTGGTCCTAATTCTCCACTTAATTACGTAAGTTTTATGCCTGAGTATCTCCATTGAGGCTAATGGAGATACACCACTACAAAACCAGTAGGAAGTATAGAATCAGAGCCATTGAGTTATGAAGGTGCCTTTTCTTTCTTCAAAAGTCTGTTTTTTTTCACTAGGGGACTGAAAGTGTGAATATTGGCTTAAATGGCTTATGGATGAGCAACCAAAACCATTCTTTACAGCAGCTTTCTATCTGTTGACAATGTACTGGTGTGTTTAAATTTAATTTTGTGAAGTTTCTGATTATAATAAATACAATCAACCACAGCAGTTCATTTTACACAGATTGTGCTCCTTTCCCAGTAGAGGCTAATAAAGATGTTCTTTTCAAGTATCTTAAATGGTGATGGATTCATCACTCTGTGGCAGTATTTTTGTGAGTGTTCTCTGGTAACAGAGATCTGGAAAGCTGCAAATCAGATTAAAATTAACCTGATTCCTACAGCACCTGCATAGAGAGGGATCTGCATATAAAATAAATTAGCAGTTAATCTCTAATTTAGGAACCACCAGAGATATGTTAAAAAATCTCAGAGGGGTAGCCGTGTTAGTCTGTAACTAAAAAAGCATAAAAAACAACAAATGACTATAGCATGTTAGAGACTAACCAAAAAACATAGATAGTATCAGGAGCTTTTGTAGGCACCACCAACTTCTTCAGATGAATAGAGCAAGGAGTCCAGGGGTACAAATATATAGCAGAAAAAAGGGGAGAGAGGGAAGAAAAAAAACACTCAAGGACACATTAATTGACTGGTTTTTCCCCTCCCCCCATCTCTTCTCCCTTCTTAGGCTATGTCTAGAGTACGGGAAAGATTCGAAAGAGGATATGCAAATTCCACAGGAATTGGCATATCTTCTTCCAATCTTACTTTTGAAAGGTCCGCTTTCAAAAGGAAAGTAGTTTAGATGCAGCTTTTTCAACGACCCTCCCACACCTTTGTCGATAAGTCACGTAAACCTCATTTTTTGAGGAAAAGCAGCATTTCGACAAAAGGGGGAGGTTCTGCCGAAAAAAGGCACATCTAAACTACTTTCACTTTTGAAAGCTCTGTTTTCAAAAGTGAGATCAGAAGAAGATATGCAAATTCCCACGGAATTTGAATATCCTCTTTCGCATCTTCCCCATAGTCTAGATGAGCCCACAGTCTCTAAGGCTATGTCTACACTGAACGCTTATTTCAAAATAACTTGTGTTATTTCTAAATAACAGAGTGCAGATCTACACAGCAAGCCTGTTATATTCAAATAATTTCAAAATAATGTGCTTCCTACTTCAACTTCTGTAACCCTTATTTCATGAGGCATAAAGGAAGTCGAAGGAGGAGTGTTCTTTCTTCAATTTCCTGCAGTGTAGACAGCACCAAAAGCCAAATTAAACTACTTCGACTTCAGCGACACAATTAACATAGCTGAAGTTGCATAGCTTAATTCCACTTTGTCCTGTAGTGGAGACATAAGGTAAGGTGCTATAGGACCATTCATTGTTTTTTAAGTTTTTTTCAGAGATGTCAGTTAATGAGAAATAGCAGGTGTTCAATTCTTGGATTTCATAGCTCCCAAGAAGTTCTGTCATTAAGTCACGTTAGCGAGGATATATTAGAGATCCTAATTTATTCCCCTTTCAATGCAGGAATGTTTATTTCTCCAGAGCTTAAGTTACCCACCTGGGGGATACTTTAGTTGAAATGAGATATGAATATGTTACATGATTGGATGTTTTGAGAAATAGTCCATATTTTGGACCCCTAAAATATGTACTTCACATAAAAGCTTAGTTCTAGTAAACTGTTTGTAA